GTTGAGGGCCACTTGCCTTTGCAGGTAACCATGACAGTCATAGAAAGGCAAGATGGTATATACGCTGTAATGTACTTGGCTTATTTCTTACCATGATATATCCTGCACATTTTTTCATGTCAACTAATGCTGTCCCTCGCTTTCATATAGTTGTATATGATTGAGGTTATATAACTGATTCTTTTTAAATAGTCATTTGAATAGTTTATAATCTTTTGTTACCAAAACTATAAATTAAAACTCAGTCATACTGCAGGACAAACATAACAAAATTATATTATTTTCAAATATAACTAGTGATTTAAATATGTTGAAAATGAATATACATCTTATCGAAATTTGTGGAATGCAATAAAAGCAATGCTCAGAGAAAAATTTATAGCACTGAATGTAAACATTAGAACCAAAGAATATAAAATCAATGATGTAATCTGCTTTAGAACCCTAGAAAAAAGAGCTATATAAACCTACATCAGTCATACAAAGAGAAATATAAACAATTAGACCACAAACAATAAAATTGAAAATAGGAAACCAACAGAGAAAATTTTATAAATTACTGAAAAGATCAGTAAAATTGAACATCAGGCTAACTAAGAAAAAACCAAGACACAAATTTCTAATATAAAAAATAAAAGAGAGCCCACCATATCTGATTAATGGATAGTAAAATATAAACTCCATGCCCACAAACAGTATCCTAGATCAATTGACAAATTAATTAAAAACGCAACTCTCTAAAATCCACAAAAGGAAAACCCAGTAATTGATCTATAGGTGTTAGTAAAATGGAATCGATATGTAATTAGCTCCCCAAATTTACATATTTTTTTAGTTACATGGGGCCACGTTAACTTATTTTAACTGGTGGGGTCTAACGGTTCCCATTTTGTAGAGAAAAATTTGGAAGTGACGTGGCAAACATTTAATTTTATTACTCATTAGGTCAGGGAATTGATGTTCACTATAAGATGTTTTAGCATAATTGGTGCCACAATTATGGAGAATTTAGTCAAGAGAATACTTTTGTCATGGTTAAAGGAAGGCATACCTGTTTTCAATAAAGTAATGCCCCCTAAGATTATGTGGGAGCATACCTAAATTTTGTGGTATTTCCAGGTATGCTTATTCAAGCTCTATATAGATTAAGGACATTGAGATTTCCCAATTGATGCATTTCAACAGATACTGTACTTAATTCACAACCTATTTTGTAGAGGCATAAAACTCAATTGACAGTCATTTAACTTTTTATTTTATATGTTCTTAGTTAACTTTGGATATCTAGTTGAGTCAAATTGTGTGCAATTGTTTATATTTTCTTTTCGGGGATGAAGGTTGCTTTGATGTTGGAATGGGGGCACCTATGTACCCTACAAATATCTACTAGTGTCTTCCCCCAGTGAGCCTCAAATCAGTGTTTGCATTATAATAGACATCCCATATAACAATAGTTGTGTTATAGACTTAAGGATGCTAGGTTTATGTCTGATTGAATTAAGTAATACTTTTTCCTATGGTGCCATTGGTGCTTTTCTGCATTGTGGACAAAATTCACTGTGTACTGGTTACCAACTTATCTGAGTTCAGTGAGACATTGTATAGTCAGTCATACACAAGTTGCATAAAGTGGATTTATTACTTTAGGTTGGAAAGGGATAACACAAGTTTCCAACGCAAGCTGGTACCCAAAGACTCAGAAAAGCTGCCCGGGGAAGATTGTGTCTTCACTGCAAGTATCTCAACTGCTCCACAGCTGAACGATCCCGGGAAGCAGGTCTCCTGGGTTTTATATCCCAAGATGCTATGACATGCTGGACAAGTATTGAAGGACATCCTTTTTCTAAAAAGGACTGTAAAAGAGCACAGGCTGTTCTGGTCAGTTCCTCCTGAGACCAAAATATTGCATTCCCATCATACATTTATTCTAGAGAATTATAAGCAAGAAAGCGGGGAGAACTGGGTCAGTCCATGAACATTCAGAGAAATGTCCTGAACCTTTAACACTGAAGGATCAGAATATAGGTTTTAATAGAGATATGTGGTAGCAGCAGTTGCAGTAGAGGTATTTAATGGTCCTGGTGAGCCATCTGCTCTAGATTTTGGATCCTCAGCCTACCATATGATGGCTTTTCTCTTTTGTCTCTATAAAAATTGTCCTAGAATATTTTGGATTTCTACTCATGTAAAGTTGCAGGTTTCAGGTACTATCTCTGATGATTGTTCCACCATGAGGACCATGTGTGTGGTTAAGGGGGAGCATTCTAGAGCCCAACAACCCACATGGGAGGTGATCATCTATGCAGCCATTGACAGCTTCTCAATCTTGTCGGGGTAAGTGTCCACAAGGATTATAGTCATTTTGTGTAAGGATCATCCAAATAGATGAAGAAAAAATTATCTAAAAAAGTTCAACACCCCTTCATAATAAAACAAATAATGAAGAGAAGGGAACTATCTCAATGTGCATTAAAGCATTAATGAAAATTCCACAGCTAACATCATATTTGATGCTTTCGCAAACCTCAAAATTGATACAACATATTGTCAAATCACACTTTAATTCAAAGTGAAATATCCAAATAATAGCCAGACACAGTCAAGAGTAAAGGGAAAACAAAAAACAAAAAAACAACCAATTAACATGACTATACCCTCTGATAAACTTGACAGACTTACAAACTGACACCAAAAATTTTAGCAAACAAAATAAATCATCCACATAAGGTAAGAAAAATCCCAATAATCAGACTCATTTATTAAAGGCCTATTAACCACGGAGCAATTAAACAACTATATACAAATTAAACTTACCCATATATTAGAATTATGTTTCAATCTATCTGTTTATTCAACACACTTTAAAATGGTTACAAAAAAATTTAACCAGCTTCAGGAAAAAAAAACACGATACATTCAACTCATATTATTACTTTAAAAGTATCTATAGAATTCTTGTCTCAACATTTCCTTGCACATGCAAGGAGACCTTCTTTAAGAACGAGCTACTGATAAACACAGTATGTGTATAACTAATATTTTATTCATGTTGCAATTTTTTCAAGCATTATACAATAACTAATTTGCATTAGGCTTTTCATATTACTTATATTTGTAGAACTTCATTCTACTAGGAGTTGTCTCATGACTTTTAAAGTAGTTTGTTTAAAATTGAGAACATTTGTGTATTTTTCATACATAGACAGTTTTAATCAGGTGTGTATTACGTTTACAAGGTCCATATCCAGTGTACATGATTATTTGTCTACAATTGAATATAAGAAAAATAAAGGCATTCCTACATTTTGTACATTGTTTTTCTTCAGAATTAGCTATTTTATGTCATCAAATGCAACTGAAAGAAATAAAGGCCTTATCACATTTCTTACATTCATAATGCCTTTTTTGGTGTAAGTCCTTTTATATTTTCAAACCACATTTCTCAGTCATAGGGGATTTTCTCCAATTTAGTTCTTGTAACTCCATCTATGTCTTTGAAGGAAAATTAAATGCTTCCCTACATTTCTTCCATTTATAGGGTTTCTCTCCTCATGAGGTTTTAACATATTTTTGAAGATGACTGGAACATCTGAAGACTTTATCACAATTTTTTGTATTCATAAGGTTCCTATCCAGTATGCATTCTTTCAAGTTTTCAAAGGTAATTCGAACAGCCAGAGGTTTCACCACATTTTTTACATTTATAGGGTTATTCTCCAGTATGATTTCTTCCATGCCTTTGAAAGGAACTGGAATATGTGAAGTCTTTATTACTTTAATTCATAGAGTTTTTCTCCGTATAACTTCTTTCAGTTTCTGAAGGTAAGTCAAATGGCTAAAGGTTTCACCACATTTTTAAAATTCATAGGATTTTTCTCTAGTATGAATCCTTTCATGTCTACTAAGAGAACAAAAAAGTGTTCCCATATCCCTTACATTCATAGGATTTCACTCCAATATAGGTTGTTTCATGATTACAAAGATGACAGGAATGAAGAATTTATTGCAATGCTTTCATACATGTTTTTGAAGGGAATGGGAAATAGTAAAAGCTTTATCACATTTCTTACATAAACAAGATGTTTCACCAGTGTAAGTCTTTTTATGTCTTTGAAAAGACCTGAGACAACAGAACATTTTCCTACATTCCTTACATTCATAGGGTTTCTCTCCATTAAAAATTCTTTCATAGACTCAAAGGGAACTGCAAAAGCTGAAGGCTTTTCCACATTCTTAACATTCACCATACTACTGGTTTTCCTCCAGTATGACTACTTTCATGGTTATGACGAGAATGGGAATGACAGAAGGCTTTCCCACATTCCTTACATACATAGTTTATCACAAATATGAATTATTTGATGGTCACAAAGGAAACTGGAACAACTTAAGACCTTCCCACATTTCTTGCATTCATAGGATTTCTCTCCAGTATTAGCTCTTTTGTGCTTTTCCAAGAGGAAACAGTGAATGTTTTCCCACATTTCTTACGGGTATAAAGGTCTTCACAAGTGTTTTTTGTCCTTCAAAAGGCTTGAGACAACTGAATCTTTTCCCACATTCCTTACTTTTAAAGGATTTCACTCCAATATGACTTATTTTATAGGTATGAAAGTGAATGGAAGGACTGAATACTTTCCCACATGCTTAATTTCATAGGGTTTAACTCCATTATGAGTTCTTTCATGCTTTTGCAAAAAGTGAATGCTTTACCACATTTCTCACATGTATAAGGTCTTTCATCAGTTTGAGCCTTTGTATGTCCTTTAAAGGACTGAATCTTTTCCCACATTTCTTACATTCATAGATTTTCCCTCTGAGTTATTTTATGCGTATGAAGATGAATGGAATGACTGAAGGTTTTCTTACATACCTTACATTTGTAGGCTTTCACCTCACTATGAGTTCTTTCATGACTAATGGATGTGGAACAAAAGGCTTTTCCATATTCTGTGCATTAATATGGTTTTGAGTTATTTCATGATTATGAAGGTTACTGAAATGTCTGAAGGATTCCCCACATTCTGTAAATACACAGGATTTCTCTACAGTATGAGTTATTTCATTGTTACAAAGGGAACCACAACAAGGTTTTCCTATATATCTTGCATTCATAGTGTTTCCCTAGTATGAGTTCTTTGATGTTTCTGCAAGAAAGAGGAGAGTGTGAATGTTTTACCGCATTTCTTACATGCATAAGGTTTTTCACCAGTGTGAGCCTTTATGTGTCCTCTAAAGGACTGGAGACAACGGAATCCTTTCCCACATTCCTTACACTCATAGGGTTTCTCTCCAATATGAGTTCTTTTATGAGTATGAAGATGACTGGAACGACTAAATGCTTTCCCACATGTCTTACATTCATAAGGTTTTACCCCAGTATGAGTTTTTTCATGATCATGAAGGGAACTTGAACAAAAGAAGGCTTTACCACATTCTTTACATTCATAAGGTTTTTCTCCAGTATGAGTTCTTTCATGATTATGAAGGTTACTGGAATGTCTGTAGGCTTTCCCACATTTCTTACATACATAGGGCTTCTCTCCAGTATGAGTTCTTTCATGATTACGAAGATTACTGGAACGTCTGAAGGCTTTCCCACATTCCTTGCATATATAGGGCTTCTCTCCAGTATGAGTTCTTTCATGATTATGGAGGTTACTGGAACAACTGAAGGCCTTCCCACATATCTTACATTCATAGGGTTTCTCTCCAGTATGAATTATTTCATGCTTTCGCATGGAAGAAGAAAGAGTGAATGCTTTACCACATTTCTTACATGCATATGGTTTTTCACCAGTGTGAGCCTTTTTATGTCCTTTAAAGGACTGGAGGCAACTGAATCCTTTCCCACATTCCTTACATTCATAGGGTTTCTCTCCACTATGAGTTCTTTCATGGCTATGAAGGTAACTGGAACGACTGAAGGCTTTTCCACATTTCTTACATTTATAGGGTTTTTCTCCAGAGTGAATACTTTCATGTCTTTTCAGAAAACAGGGAAAACGGAATGCTTTTCCACATTCCTTACACTCGTAGGGTTTTGCTCCAGTGTGAGTTCTTTTGTGTATGAGACAAGAATTGGAAAAACTGATGGTTACACAAGTTTGCTTACATTTGTACGGTTTACCTACAGTGTGAGTTCTCTCATGTACCTGAAATAAACTGGGAAAACCAAAGTCTTTCCTACATACTGTAAATTTATAAGGGCCTCTTCCAGTGTGAGTTACCATGTGTTGTTGAACACTCATCAGAGAAACAAAGGTTTCCTGACACTGTTGACATTTATATGGCTTCTCTCCACATTTCTCACACTCATATAGTCTGTGTCCACAGTGAGATAACATGTACCTATGAAAAGATAAATGACATATGAAGACTTTTCTACACATACTATATTCATATAGTTTTACGCTAATAAAAATTTTCTTGTTCAGATTAAGATTTGGAATCTGGCTGAAGGTTACTCCACATTGACTACCTGTTTGACTTTTCCAGTATTTCTACTGTATGACTTCTGTAAAACATGACAATAACATTATTAATGGTTGGCTCATTAATATTTTTTCTATTTATTAACTGGTCATGAACTTATATTGCTAGCATTATCAGGGAAAGTACAGATTTCTTGCTATGACTAATTTGTTCAGAGTAAGGAGACTGATTGCTCTGCAACAGGGCCCCTATTCCCATAGCTATTATAAAAACATTATATCCATATATGTCATTTCTTAGATAGTATTCAAGAGAACTACTTTTCAAACAGTGAATATCTATGTCACATATATATTTTTGGTGAAAATTTTATAAGGATAAATAAGTTTAAGCTGTGCTTATTTATTTTATTTCCTTATTTTTAAAATATCATGGCACGTTAAGATTACTTCAAGTGATATTGCTTCCTGTTCAATTGTAAATTACCTCAGATTTCTCCAAGAATTTTTGTACTGATCTCCAGTGTTCTGGTCTTCACACTTATTTCCTAAAATGTAGACCCAGAAAAATTTAATTAACTAGAAATCATAGAAAAATTACTAAATTCTAGGTGCTATGGTTTGGATATGATTTATCCTCACCAAAATTCATATTAAAAATGTTGGGTGGTGAGGCCTAGTAGGTGGTGTCTGTGTAATGAGGCTGAATCCCTTATGAATAGTAATGATCTCCCTAGGGAGTGTTTTTGCTCTTGAGAGACTGGATCAGTTACCAAAGAGCAGGCTGTTATAAAAGCAAGTTTAGCTTCCTAGACTCATCTTTCTCTTTCACCATGTGATTTCTTTGTACACACCCACTTCCCTTCTGTTTTCTGCTATGAGGAGAAGTTCCATAAGGGCGTTTCCAGATGCAGCTGTCTAATCTTGGACTTTCCAGCCACCAGAATTGTGAACTAAAATAGATCGCTTTTTATTGCAAGTTATCCAATCTCAGGTATTGTTATGGTGACACAAAATGAACCAAGACACTAGGTTCACTGTATGCTGTGACAATGCCTGATTCAGTCACTATAAAATTCCCTTTCCACATACCAAATCATAGAACAACACTGATGACCATAAAACACTTATTCTCTAATTGATTAAGTGAAAAAAACAAACAAAACCATTGTCATTCTTACCTACAGAAGCCAAGTTCCTAAAAGTTTCTTGCATCACATCTCTATAGAGATTCCTCTGGGAAGGATCCAGCAAAGCCCACTCTTCCTCGGTGAAGTTCACTGCCACATCCTCAAAGGCCACTGAGTCCTAAAACATCCCACATATGTGTAGAAAAGGATGGGTAAGAGTGACAGTACTGGAAATCTTTAGTCAGTTTATAAGACCTTTACATGATTATGTATTCTTTAAACATTTATTCCATGACTTGGTCATCAGAACTCTCACGCTCTATCTGCACTTTTTCCAATAAGCAGTGCTGATGCTAAATGAACTATTTAGAAAGGCAACAGCAGAATGGCAACACTGTTCTCACTGATGAGTCCAGAAGTAAGATGTACTGGTAGGTCACCCTTATTTTTGCTTTGTGGAGTATATCTCTATAACTGGTCATAACAAATTCCTACTACTAGGTTTGGTAATAGAGTTAATACTGTACTAGCAGTCCTAAGACTACTTATTCTTAGAAATGCCTTCTTATAAAGTTTGATCTTTGTTATCTAAGTGGTTACAGTGGTTCACTGTGTCTAAATAGTTTATCCTAACATACAGTATTTGAAATCTTTTTTTCCCAGCCTAGGCAAATATAGTGAGAACTTGTCTTTACTCCCCCCCACCTCCCCCCAAAAATTAGACAGGCATGGTGGCACATACCTATAGTCCCAGCTACTTGGGTGGCTGAGGTGGGAGTATTACTTGAGCCCAGGAGATTGAGGCTACAGTGAGTCATAATCATGCCACTGTGTTCCAGCCTGGTCAACAGAGTGAGACTTTAACTAAATGTTTTTTTTTTTTTTTCATTCTGTAAGTCTATTATTTTGTTCCATTCTCATAGTGGTGCCAAAGGGATCACCCTTCCACCCAACCTATCCCCACTTCCCACCAAAAAGCACTGAATAGTATCTAATGCGCTTCTTTGGTAGACAATATTTCCTTGTGTTCTCACAAGTTGATAATTCAGAAACTGAGTCCATCCCATGTGACTATACCAAGAGAGAATATTTGGAAGCTTGCAAGTAGTTTACTGCAGACTGGATTTAATAGAGGAGTAAATAAAACTAACGATCAACATTTAGTGATCCAAATAGCACAATGTTAAAACTTCTATTGGGTAATATCAAAGCAGAATGGAGTAAGTTGAAGGGTTGTATGTGTTCTTAGAAAAAACTCATTGACACCTAAATGCCACCTTTTACAAGTGATATCCATATAAATTACTGCAAATTCCCAAATTTTTTTGTATTCAACACAAAATACTTTTCCAAACCTATAAAAATAGCATGTCTAACAGTTGTCCAAGTCTTCTGAATAACAGTATGATGGCTTTCTAATATACATTTTGGGTTTTCAAATGTAGTACATGGGACAGCATAGTATTAGCAAAGAAATAATCATATAGATCAAGGGAAAGAAAAAGAATCTTTAATGAACTGGCATGTATATGGAAAGCTAATTGATTATAAAGCAGGTTTGAAGAATAGTGGAGGAAATATCAAGCACTTTAAATCATAGGGCAAAACTAATTGGTATTTAATTGGAAAAATGCATTGTTTTCCCCTTTATTCCCTAAACAATAATTTATTGTAGAGTGAAATGTGAAGTAAAAGTAGAACCCTTAAAGAAATCACAGCAAAAATTTTTCTTAAATGAAAGGCAATCTTTAAAAAAAATTTTTTTTAGGTTATCAAGGTCTCTCTCTGCTGCCCAGGTTGGAGTGCAGTGGCTATTCACAGGTGTAATCATAGTGCACTGTGACCTCAAACTCCTGCCCTCAAGTGATCGTCCTGCATCAGCCTCCCAAGTAGCTGGAGCTACAAGCACTGGCCATAGCACCCAGGTCAGCAGCATTATTTTTATATAAAAAAAGAGTAACCAATGGAGGAAAGGAATGAAAAATTCAAGTATGTTAAAATTAAAGAAATTAAAACACAAAAAGAGTATAATAAAATCTGCAATACATGCAATATAAAGAAACTGCTCTGCAGAGTAAACATGAACACATGATTACAAAATAAGAAAGTTGACTGCCTGTATATCTTCTTTTGAAAAGTGCCTATTCATGTCATTTGCCCATATTTTAATAGGGATGTTTGTTTTTTCAGCTCATTTGAGTTCTTTGTATATCCTGGATGTTAGGCCTTTGCTAGATACATAATTAAATATTTTTTTCCCATTCTGTGAGTTGTCTCCTCATTCTCTTGATGGTTTCTTTTGCTGTGGAAAAGCTTTTCAGTTTGATGAGGTTCCACCGGTTTATCCTTAGCTTTTATGACATTCACTTTTGGGGATTTGGTCAAAATTTTTTGCCTACTCCTATGTACATAGTGTGTCTTGTGTTTTATTCTAGGATTCTTATAATTCGAGATTTTACACTTAGGTCTTTGATCCATTTAGAGTTCATTTTTGTATACGGCGATAGATTGGGGTCTAATTTCATTCTTCTGCATGTGGTCAGTCAGTTTTCCCAGCATCATTTGCTAGATATGGTCTCCTTTCCCCAGTCGTTGTTATTGGTGGCTTTGTTGAAGATAAGTTGGTTGAGATTGAGTTTTTGCTTCCATAATCTCCACCCTGTTCCACTGGTCTATGTGCCTATTCTTATACCATTACCAGGTTGTTTTGTTTACTGTAGTCTTGCAGTAAAGTTTAATGTCTGGAAGTGCGATACCTCCTGCATTGTTCCTTTTGCTGAGGATTGTTGTGGCTATTCATTTTTGTTTGTTTGTTTCCATATGAATTTCTATATTATTGTTTCCAGGTCTGAGAAAAATGATGTTGGCAATGTAATGGGTAACACGCTGAATTTGAAGATTGTCTTGAGTGAATGGACATCTTGACAATATTGATTCTTCTAATCCATGAGCATGAAATGTTTTCCCATTTGTTTGTGACAGCCTTAATTTCTTTGAGCAGCTTTTTGTAGTTCTCATTATAAAGGGCTTTCACTTCTGGTTAGGTGGATGCCAAGGTATTTCATTTTTGTGTGTGTGGCTATTGTGAATAGGGTTGTGCTTTTTATATAGCACTCTCTCTGCTTGAAGCTGGTGTATAGAAATACAACTGTATTTTGCAATTGATTTTGTACCCCAAGACTTTACCAAAGTCAAGACTTTATCAGCACAAGGAAGATTCTGACAGATTCCTTAGGATTTTCAAGATATAGAATCATATCGTCCACAAAGAGAAATAGCTCGACTTCCTCTTTTCCTATTTGAAGACATCTCATTTTCTTCTCTTGCCTGATGGCGCTGGCTAGGACTTCCAACACTACGTTGAACAGGGGAGTGAGTGTCGGCATTCTTGTCTTGTTCCCATTCTGAGCGGGAATACTTTCCATTTCTGTCCATTGAGCAAAATGTTGGCTGTGGATTTATCATAGATGGCTCTTACTGTATTGAGGAATGTTTCTTCTATGCCTAGGTGCTGAAGGCTTTTTATCAAGAAAGGATGTTGGATTTTCTCAAATGATATAATCATCTGGTTCTTGGTTTTACATTTGGTGATGTGCTGAGTTACACTGATGATCTTGCAAATGATGAACCAGCCCTGCATCCCAAGATTGAAGCCCACTTGGTCATGGTGAATGATCCTTGAGATGTGTTGTGGGTTCCAATTTGCTAGAATCTTGTTTAGAATTTTTTGAATCTATATTCATCAAGGAGATTGGCCTGTAATTTTCTTTCCTTGTTGGGTCTTCACCAGGTTTGGGTATCAGTATGATGTTGGTTTCATAAAATGAGTTGGGGAGCATTCCCCCTTTTTTGATTGCCTAGAATACTTTCAGTAAAATTAGTATCAGCTTGTCCTTGTATGTCTTCCAAAATTCAGTGGGGAAGCCATCCGGCTAGGGACTTTTTTTGGTGGGTAGATTTCTTATGACTGAGTCGATTTCCTGGATTGTTACTGGTCTGTTTAGAGTATCAATCTTCTTGTTTCAACCATGAGAGGTTGTGTGATGTCAAAAAGTACTCCATCTCCTTTAAGTTTTCTAGTTTATTTGCATACAGGTTTTTATAGTAATCTCTGATCATCAGAATTTCTTTAGGGTCAGTTGTGACATCACCTTTTGCATCTCTAATTGTGTTTATCTAGGCTTCTCACTCACATTACTCATAATAGGGAAAAAAAAACATAGAAGCAAAATCCTACTGCCTAACAAAAGCGGACTAGATAAAGAAAATGTGGTACATATACACATGGAGTATTATGCAGCCACAAAGAAGAACAAAATAATGAACTTCACAGCAAGTTTGATGGAGTTGGAGACCATCATACTTAGTGATCTATCACAGAAAGAAATAACTGAATACCACATGTTCTTACTCATAAGTGGAACCTGAACATTATTCATATTACCACAAGGGAGGGACTGGCATGCAGTGTACTTGTGTAGTTAATCATGACTTGTACCCCACATCTTTATAATACAATAAATAAATAAATAAATAAATAAAATTTGAAAAGACTACTCACAAAAATGTACCAAGTGAGTTTTACAAAACCTTCTATAGGAACAGGTAACTCTGCCATTCCTAGTATTAGAAATAGAGAGGACTCTGAACATTTCTATGAAGCTCATATATCCCGGTTATTTATTTCCCAGAACATTGAAGTAATTGAAAAATACTGAAATACTGAAAAATAGGTGTTTCAAAACCTGCAACATTATTTCAGGTTTAAATATTTTGATTACAGACAAACCATAATTTAGTATAACTTATTTTTTTCTGGTTTCAATGGAAACAAACTCATTATATTTTCTTTTTCTTTTTTTTTTTTTTTTTGAGTTGGAGTCTCACTCTGTCACCCAGACTGGAGTGCAGTGGCCGCTCCCAGCCACCACAGCCTCGAACTGCTGGGCTCTGGTGATCCTTCCACCTCAGCCTTCCAAGTAGCCGGAATTACAGGTATGCGCTACCATGCCCGGCTGATTTTTTGATTTATTGTAGAGATGAGGTCTCGTTGCCCAGGCAGGTCTCGAACCCGTGGGCTCAGGCAATCCACTCACCTCAGCCTCCCAAAGGTGCGGGATTACAGGTTGAGCCACCGAGCCTGGCTCTCATTATATTTTCAAAATTTATTTTAAAAAT